CTCATGAACAGCTTTAATTTGATACCCATATTAAACAAATACATCCTAAGGTTACCCGGGTCCACGTTTTGGGGCCACGCCCCCTTTATATATCAAAATATTTTTTACCCTGTGACCATCCCTGGAAGATATCCAGTGCGTGTGTAAAATTTGGTTACGATCGGCTTATTCGTTTAGGAGCCAAGTGTGTCTATAGGTACATACATAATTTGAATTTTATATATATAGATTGTTTTTTGCTATCAGTTACTTATCGCCCCTTGATGACGGAAGTTGTTTGAAATGTGTGTTTGCTTTTGTGATATCTTCACTCGGCTACATATTTATGCTTATCTACATAAATACTATTTATATACAACTTTGATATCTTTGTTTAACAACGCAAACGATGATAGCGTGGTAAACATTTATTAATGTGTAAAGGTGAAACAGAAAGTGGGGAGTTTAAAAATCTGTCAAACGGAGCAGCTAGGCATGAAATGCATTCAGGCCTTGCACAGTGGTTCAAAATTGTCATTTGTATTTGATTTTTGATTTTTTGTTTGTTTGTATTATTTTGCACTAAGCATTCCCCTACTCCAATGTTACATAACAAAAACTAGTTGAAAACAATTGTAGGGTTCCCTCAAACGAAAAAAAAATCACAAGAAAAATTTTAAATGTTATAAAAAACTTTCACCAAAATTAAAAAAAAAATAATAATTGAGTTTCTAGTAAAATATTGGGTATGCAGTTTTGCACTTGTAACTTGCACCTTATTATAAAATTTAATGATTTAATAAAAAGGCATACCCAACATTTTCATAAAAACCAAAAAAATAAAAAATATAATTTTGGGCAAATCGTTTTTTAAAACATTTTAAGTTTTATTTTTTTCCGTTTTAAGAGAACAATTATTTTCAACTATTTGTAACATTTACTAGCTGCAGCGGGAGAATCTTCCTTCAAAATTGCTACTTCTCTGCACTGCACTAAAAAATCTAATTCAAACGAACGAAAATTCAAAAGTCGGACTCAATTGGTCTCTTGCAAATTTTATGAGCTTTCATTAAAAAAAATAAAATAATAATAATAATTAAATTGAATAAAAAATTAAAACTACAATGAGTTGTGAACACACAATTCCAATTTTGAACCACTGTGCCGTGGTGGCTGCCGTTTTTCTACGTTCGTTGTAGTTTTAGAAATATTGAAGACTCAACTGCATAGGATTTTCAACCCCAAAACAAAGCCTTCTTGTTTTTGCTTTTCTTTTTTAATTCGGCAGGAGTCGGTGACCTTCAGAGGTAGAATAGACAAACCAAGAAGTATAAACCATTGAGTAACGCAAGGCGGCGCTTTGCGTCTTACACTTTGCAAGACTTTTCCTAAGCTCCTGCAGCCGCCTCAGCGAGTTCCAATGACCCCCTACGCCGTTGAGTGAGTGGTCACTAGCACGAACTGCATTCGTTCTTTACTGCGGTAAATCTGCGAATCTCCGTCGTGAAGTCTACGGCCACCATATTTGCCAGATGCACAAGTGAGAAGACTGGAACTGAACATACGAGGTCGATGGCGCATAAATCCCAACCAAAATTCTCACAATAATACTGGGTTCAACGATCAACAGCCTTCGCGCGTTGTCGGCCAATGCAACGAAAATCCACAACAAGTTGGGTAAGGTCTAGGGTTGCCAACCTTACTATAATATATAGTATTGTACTATTTTTTGGGTCTGCGTACTATATGCTGTTGGAAAAATATATAGTACGCAAAAATACTATATTTCTTCAATTATAAAAATAAATATATTTCAGTAATTTGTAAGAACAAAATGTTTTAACTTTGATGACATTTATACTGAAATATCAATATTACAAGAAATATACTTTAAAACAAAGGGTCCACAGATCGAAAATGGCAACATTTTTAAAAATACTCAGAAAGATTTACCAAATTTACTGAAAGTTATTTCGCTTATGCTCTGTATTCCTGCAACTTTGGCATTCACAGAAAGAGTTTTTTCTAGATTTTGAAATGGTGAGATGAGAAAAATAAAGCGAATATCTCACTAATAAAAAGTGAACTTTAGTTTTATATTAATTGGCTATAAAACATATGATACTTTCAAAGAAATGTATTTTTTTATAGAGGAAACGCATAACACAGAAAAAAATGTACACATAAAAAGCATTTTTACTTTACCATATATTCAAGTGTACTATATTTTTTCAGATTTTTTTGAAAAGTAATATAAATTTCGGAGGAACTGTTGGCAACCCTAGTGAAGTCGAAAAACCGGAATAAAGTATGCAAGTGATTTGATGCCAGCACATGGATGAAAGACCAGAAGAGACCATGCTCGCTGCGTACAAGGCCAGCGGGTAATCGGTATATTCATCATTGGTTGATAAAATCAAATCAAGCACACTACAACATTATCGACAGAGTCAACCCTCCGTACGTTGAGAAAAGGTACCTAAACAAGCTGGGAGGAAAAAACGCTTAGCTAGCACGGATAGACGATAGCAAGTTTGGTTCTACCTCATTGAGTTCGTTCGTTTCGTCACTCGCTAACTGATGGCGAATCGATGACGGCTTATGTATCAGAAATATTATTAATATCTCTTGTCCCTATTTTATAAGCTCAACAAAAATATATTTTCTTAGTTAACTAATCCCACTTTGCATAAGCTACGATATTTTTAGACAATGTGCTATTTTCCGTCTAAAATAGAAATAATGATTTATATTGTTCTTTTTTATTTTTCTTTTGGTAATTGATTATTCATGCGTGTTAGCATCTACGATTAACGAATATACGCAACGATATCAACGATAACGGGGGGGGAATCAAAACAGCTGTCGATCGTTAAGTCAAAACGTGCGATGCAATAAACAATCAAATGAATGAATGAATGAAGGTAGACAGCGGAAAGCGCGCAAAGAGGTCACTCGAAGTGATCGTGTTATTAGCAGTGGCGATTTAAGCAATGCGTGTGTGTGTGGGGTATAGAGCGTAGGCACGTGTTTGGCTAGAAAATAGGCGCAATGCGGCAAATTACAATACGACACTTGATATGCAGACGAAATCAATAATAAATGAATTTCCATACACTTGCACTGTGAGAACGATTTAGGCATATGCGTGGAAATATGTGGATTGATTATCGATGATTACGTCATTGAAAATGTGCGCTGAAGCACCAACTTCTAGGTCAAGTAATTATGAAAAACGTTACCATTTCAAGTGTTTGTTTATATTTTTAAGTTAAAGCAACCAAATTGTTTGAACATATTAAATTCATAACAGCTGTTTTTTTGTGGAATAGTTTAGTAATCAAATAAAAATATAATCGATTACACTGAGCATGCGTGGAGAATTAAATGAAGCACTTATCCGCTTGATAAATGCACTTTTACCTCTTTTATATCAAGAAAACTTTTAAATCCATATTTTTTCGTTAAGTGACACACTGACACATTTTGAAAGCCCTTCTTCTTCCACATAACTGTACGTATATTTATAGTTATTAAAAATTATGAATATCAAACAGGCAAAAACTAGGCAACGACAAACTACTTTTATGTACATATGTATAAATGTTACAACGGTTTTCTAACTTTTACATAATCAAAAAAAAATAATATGCATGCCGGCACTTATTGTACCTACCGATATCACCGAACAAATTATTAGAGTTTCTAATAAGTCCATAAAAATTTAATTCTGTTTGGTTTTATTTATAAAAAGCAAATAAGTAAATGAAGATAAGTGAAATGAATATTTGCCTGGAGGAGGTGAACCACTCGGCGACCTAATCGGCGACAGGATATACATATAAATTTAAATAATATTTTATACGTTCTGTGTTTTGAACACATTTTTGTGCAATTCTTAAATTTTACCAATTTATCAAAAATTCACGTCCAGTTTTTAACTCACAAAAAATGATTGTTCGTGTAGATATACAAAGATTTGCTAATGCTTTCAAATGCTCAAAACATGATGACTAGGTTTTAAGTGACCAAAAATTTATGTCCAAATTTTAAATTACAAAGAAAAAAATTACCATTTTTTTAACCACAAAAGTATTAGCTATGTTCATTACTTAGTTAGCCAAAAATTCATAACTAGCTTTAAATTAGCAAAAAATTATGTTAACTCAAACTAAGGTCGGCTTTTTAAACAAATAAAAATATATGTCCATTATTTTAAATTTATCTGTTTGCCAAATACTACAATGAAAATAAAATATACATATAAATTAATGCAACTATCTCATTGCGATTAAAGTATTAAAAATAAATAAATAAAATAAATATAATTTTTCAACATTTCCACTCTACTCACGGTTATTATATATTTTATTCTAAAATGATATGCTCCATAAAATCCCAATATGATGAATATTATGTGAAAGAAATTGACCAATATGGGCGCCCACATGTATCCGAGAAAATCGAATACTTGGCGTTCGATGATTGTTATCTGTAAAAAAAAAAGGAAATAAAAAACATTAAGTCATTGGTCAATTTAAAATATACAATTTGCTGTATGCATCATTATACATACATATAAGTACATACATAAATGGCATATCAATAACTTCAATTATGTACAATAACAATAATATATGTATTGAGTTCCACAGTTGAATACCACAATAGAGCAATGCAGTGTAAATGGAATTGCGTGCTGTTATATAAGAGTTCCAATTGAATGCATGCGAACGTTTTTATGAACGTTGTATGACCAGCACTGACCTAGTAGCCTCAATTGCAACACTGCAACATTCTACGCACCACAAAGTCATTAACAGCATACACTAAGGGAGACAAGCATATATGTATGTAACTTTACGTCATACATACATATACTATTTATACATAATGTACATACTTACATAAGTATATATGTACATAAATATATACTCGTATGCATTTATAGAATATGCACGAAATGAAAATGGTTCTTCTTGGTTGTAATGTGTTCATTGGTTTGTTATTTATTATGGTATATGTATTTAATTGAATTTAATTAGTAAACCCTCTGCACCGCCACGATAACGAAGTATTGGAGGGAAAGCAATTAGAACCAGTTGAGTCAATCGAAAATGTGCAGAACAAAAAATTTAATTTAAAAACTCCAAACATACCTACTCGTATCTAAAGAAGGAGATAACAGATTTTAGAAAGTGAGTAAGTGTATTTAATTGAATGCATAGCTATAAATTGAGACTTTAGAAAAGAGATTTAATAAAATATTTATATACTTTCACTGCAGTTAGCTTATAAGCTGTAGTCACCACAGCCAACTGTTAGAGGTGCCTACTAAACTCAGTAAAAGTCGGGATCACATCCTAGTCCGAGTAATGTGTTTGGCGCTTACATTTTTGCTAAGTTTATGGCCATGCGTCGAGATGTTGTAACGCATTTGGAGGCCACTTCCGAACGGCAGATGATTTTTTAGAAGCCTTTTCATTTCATAAATATGCGCGAAGGTTTGCCAGAAGCCTGTCAATTGTCATGTATTCAGTTTTCAAAAAACAAAAAATTTATGTCTGGTTCTTCAATTTCAAAAAAAAAAAAATCTGTACAGTTTTTAAATTATAAAAAAAATGCTCAGGTTTTAAATAACCAAAAATCTATATTCAGTATATTCGGAAAAATAAATGTCCAACTTTTAAATTAAGAAAAGTGTATGTCCAGCTTTTAATTAACTAACAAAAAATTTGTCCAGTTTTAACTTCGCAAAAATCGATGTCCTCTTTTTAAATGCCGAAAAGTGTGTGTGCAGTTTTTTAAACCAACAAAAAATTTCTATCAAGTTTTTATGTCCATCTTTATATTAAAAACAATTTATGCCCAGTGGTTCTTTTTTTTTTTAGTTATGTGGTGACAATCGAGAAAAATTCACTTTCATACCTAGATTTAGTGCCTTGAGTGCGTCCACTTGGTCATTCACACTTGGCACTCGCCTTGCACTCAAAACATACACCGTACAATTTGCACACACGTTTTGCACACGCTTGATAATTGGCGCTTGTTTGCAATACGTTTGTCAGATGCGTGCTATGGCGCAATTGCAATTGCAATAATAGGAACAAAAAGGTAAAAAATCTACACTTGCATACATTCATACCTTATATTTATGCATATACAGAACATGTTTACATATAAATATGTACATACACACATATTTACTACAAGTTAAATATATAGAAGTATAGGGTCATGTGCATGGCGACATACATACATAAGAGGTATTCAAGATCCGGTGCATATTTGTCTAGCATGGTGCATAGATAGCATAAATGGCATGTCATGTATTCATAGACAGTATGCGCCGGATCGTGAATACCCCTATAGTATGTTAAGAAGCAAAAAATTAAATCCACACACCAAAGACTAATGTATGTAAGTACATACATATATCTACACTGTTCGGCCAAACTTCTGTGTCATTTTCTAGCATTTGCTTCTTATTTCGCTTGCTATTTTGCTCTTAGTGTTGAGAGTAGTAATTGAAACTAATTGACTCTAAGTGGATGATGTGATTACTTTACTTAGCTGAGTAAAAGTCTGTGAAGTTCGTACGAATGTGTATGTGTAGGTTTTTTTTTTTGCGATATATGTATGTCACATCCGTATTTTTGAAACAAGAAAGATGGAGAGAATATTGCAACAAGGCAAGTGAGCACAAATATAAGGACGAGGACGAATGCGAATGCGAATACGAATGTGAATGCGAATATGATGCGGATAGTAATAAGAATAAGAATCGGAATAGAAATTGAAATAATAGGGGTAGTAGTTGGAATAAAAATAGTCATTGGGATAGTCATGGAATAGGAATAGGAATAGGAATAGGTATAGGAATCGGAATAGGAATAGGCATAGGAATAGGCATAGGAATAGAAATACGTCTTTGTGGCTTTCTTGGTAGCCATTTTGAGACCTGAGTTCAAGTTATGTCTTTTATTTAGTGTCACCGCTAGATATTTTGGCTCTTATGAGAACTCTATCTCCATAATTGCCAATTTAGGTTTATACCTCATTCGATCGGAGTTTTTTGCTTATAATAACATTTTAAGAGTTTCCAATTAATTAAAGTCCTTTAAGTTCAAAGTTTGTGTTAATAAAATATATGAATGTACATCAACAGCAAATATAAACCAGTGCATAAAGCAGTAAATATGTACATATATATATATGAGTGTAAACCTATGTGCAAGCAATGCATTCATTTTTCATTATAACACTTTCATGTTCAAATACCACCAATAAATATTGCAACAGATTTAAAAGCGATTAAAATGCAAAACAAAAAAACACTGTTTTCCTTTTTATTCAGCAACAATTAATGGCCACATGCAGACATTGAGGTGACCACAAAATGCCTGCCACCTGCCACAAAAGCATGCCACACGAACGCACACCCACACACGTAGAATCACATAATCTGCACACAACCACTCAGCCCACAAATGATCCGCAGCACCAACTGCGCTTTATGATTCAGTTGCACGATGGGAGAACAGGCGCAAGCTATCGTTGTTTCGGTATAATTGCAACGAGCTTAGTGCAAACTTTTACTCAACACATGCAGCCAACTACATACATATAGCCAACATAAATGGCTATGGGTGCCTAAGCTCAGCTGCTTACAAACTCCCACTTACAGTGCTATCTATTTCGCCTGCAGCACATGTGTGTGCGTGTGTGTGTGTGTGTGTGTGCGTGCGTGTGTGGTCACAGTTGGTCGCGACCACTTGGTGAGATTTTCCATTTTCACCATTTCCGGTACTAAAATCTGTAAATGTTTCTTGCGATTGGCGCAAAAAGTTCCAAGAAATAGCTGGAGTTTTGGTCGGCTACTTTGTTTGAGTAATGGTGTGAGAATGTGCAAACAAACCATGAATTCAAATTTAAGTGAATATGCATGGCTGTGTCTTTGTGTTGTTGCACATGTGCTGCTGCGACAGTTAACCTTGACCGAACACAGCTGAAATATTTGTATACGTATACAGCAGACATATTCGTATGTACATATGTATGCAGATATATCCAGCACAAGCGAAGTTGCGAGCCACGTGGTCAAAACTTTACGGCTTTTGGTAGTGACGTTGTGGCACAGTGGGGTGAATATACATACTATGTACATAGGACTAAATTTGTTAAAAAAAAAAAAACTAGTAGAACTTCATGTTAACTTCGAGTGAAAATCTTTGGTGCAAATTTTGAAACTAATTTGGACTATTGCAATTTTTTTGGAATTTTCGAAAAAGTTTCAAGCAAAGTTTACTGAAAAGGCTTACTAAAGCGTCAACTTCAAAACTATACGAAATTTTGGATAAGAGAATTCTAAGCAGAGTCTATTTAGAATCAAAGTTGGGAAGCATTTAGCTGGCATTTCAATATTTTTAGAAACTTGAGGACCCAGTTCCTTTTTGTAATCACGAAACAAATATTTTAAAGTCACTTTAATGCAGGCTTGTTCAGGCTCATTAGTCTCCAATTGGTCTGCTAGCGGCGGAATTGCTCTTAATCCAGGAAATACTGAGCGCCACTTTTGCCCTCTCACCGGGTCAAGTATTTGGGCGTGATCTTCGACAGGAAGATATTCTAGAAGAGAAATACGCAGGAGCAAACAAAAAGGCCTCAAGGATGTCGTACTACTTCTAGCACCTAAAGGATAGTGAGCAAGGTAACAATCCCGTCCGCCATTATGCTAAGTAACACTAGTTTCCCCTTCAGCCAAAGATCTTTAGGAACCGTAACTTCACCACTAAGCTGCGTAGTACCGCTAATTTCTTCGTAGTGCAGTGATTGGAACATACCAAATTAGTACAAGAATTATCGAAACCTCTTTCTAGTATTCATATAATAACTATTTTTAAGTTTACATATTATTTCTCTTGATCTATTTGTTTTTATTTTTTTGCGTCAATAAAATCCGAAAGCAACCCACTGTGCCGCACCGTTTTCAACCAGGTTCACGTGCTATTTTCCGGCGCGTGCTTTGGAAAATCCATTAATGCATACATACAGATTTTCACATGTGTGTACATTGGGGTGGTTCAAAAAGATTGAAGTCGGAATTTTAAAGCTCTCACTCCTTGGATTGTTCCATATAAAAAAATCCTGCGGTTTTTTTAATGCATTTTAAATGGGAAAAAAACGTATTTTCTTTATCATACAATACAATATAATACTAATTTGTTTAAACAATTGTTATGCCGAATTTCCACTAGGCATTGAAATTACAAAAAACTGGAGGCATTTAAAAAATGCCATGTTGAAAACATTTAATGACTATTTTTATCGTAATGACACGAATATTTTTTAATGCTCAACTTTGTCATTAAATTTTTGTCATTTAATGTCAAGTGGAAAACGAGCATTAGAATTGTTATTTTTATAATTCGTTGGAAGTGATTGGTTTATGTATTTGGTATGAAAAGTTGCAAAATTCAGAAAAAGTT